TAAACACCTGCAGGCAGTTTAGCAGAGCAGAGCATGTGCTGCAGAGCTCCGAACACAGGCACGCATCAGCGCCTCAAAACCTCCTCACAATGGCGAAGAGAGGACCCGGATTCGGTTTTCCTGATTGATAGGACTTGTAAGAGCCTGTGGCAACTCTAGCAAGTACAGCAGAGTGTGTGCTGCGGGACACAGAAGACAGGCGCGTATCAACGCCAAAAAATAAAAAGAAAGGGGGATCTGTGGGGAGCAATCCGGACTAGACTAAGTTGCTCGAATTAGGACTTATTCTATGCATCTGCTCTCCCACAATATGGCGCTGGGAGAGAAGTAAACAGCTTCCGCACAGCTGCCTCCAGTTCAACCAATTAACTGTAGGACTTGCTCCTGATTGGAGAGCAGCGTACTCAGCCGAGTTGGGATTGGCGGAGGAGGACTATAAAGGAGGAGAGAGACGGCATGCACCGGGAACATCTATGGGGAACATCTAAGGGAACCCGTGCAGCCCCTGAGAAAGCCGGCCGGCGGTGTGCCGCTCCCCTGCGGAAGTGGGGAATGTGGCAGGGGGAACCGCCCTTCCACGGAGGTGGAAGGGATAGTAGCCAACCCGGGAAGAACCAGCAGCAAACCCGGGGAGGGCCGAGCAGACGAAAGAACAGCGCAGGGTCCTGTGTCGTTCCTCCACGAAGAGGGGGAGCGACAACCTGTTTCTCTCTCTCTCACTGTCTAACTCTGCCTGTCAAAAAAAAAAAAAAGAGCATTGTGAATTTTCAAATTCTGGGCACAAAAATAAACCCATTTTTAATTCCATTTTCCATGAGCTTTTGAATTTCCCTTGTGTGTTCTTATCGCGGATGAGGCACAAAGCTCTGCATCTCCCCCTAGTGGTTTCTGTTAGTGACTGCCTTTCACGTCTGCAGTTTCCCAGTTCCAATCAGACCCAACCCAATGCTGCTACAATGATCCACAACTACTGTGCCTCTCTACCTCCTGCAAAATAAAACCCAAACTCCTTGGCATGCTCCACTTGAAATTCCAATACTAAAAACCTCTAGTTTTTAAAGCCAGATGCATTCTCTTCCCACCCTTCCACCTGGGTTTAGTCTATTCTGTGCTCTTCGTATCCCGTCCTTCCCAGTAATTATGTGTATTTGTGCTCACTTCATCTCTCAGATGGTCTTGTAAGGCTCTGGAGAGCAGGGAGGGACAATGTTATTGTCATCTTCCTGTTGTCCACAACTCCTTGTATACATCAAATATATTCAACACGTATCCATACGATTGGATAAAAAAGATTCAATGGTAATGACATTAAAAGTCAGAATTAATTTTTCTAAAGATTTATTTATTTACTTGCAAGGCAGAATTATGGGGCTGACGCTGTGGCGTAGCAGGTAAAACTGCTGCCTCCAGTGCTGGCATCCCATATGGGCGCCGGTTCGAGTCCTGGCTGCTCCACTTCCCATCCAGCTCTCTGCTATGGCCTGGGAAAGCAGTAGAAGATGGCCCAAGTCCTTGGGCCCCTGAACCCGCATGGGAGACCTAGAGGTCCTGGCTCCTGGCAGCTCTGGCCGTTGCGGTCAATTGGGGAGTGACCCAGCAGATGGAAGACTTTCTCCCTCTCTCTGTTATTCTGTCTTTCAAATACACAAAATAAATCTTAAAGACAGAAAGGATTCCAATATTCCCACCGAGAGTCCCCGCTGGAGTAGCTGGGGGTATGATGAAGACAGGTGGATGGCACAGCGACAACACAGGGGTTCTTACTCAGGTTAATCATATCGTTGTGAATACTAAGACGCTGTCAATTCAGTCGGAAAGTTTGGAGATTGGCAGGGTTGGAAAATGATGCAGGGATACTTGACCGGGGGTTTTCTACCTACACGGGGCTTGCCTGCCACGCAGGTGCCTCCGCGAGGCACAGGGCGAGAGAAACACGTTCGTTTCCACGGCCAAGTCCTCCAGAGGGCGTTGGGATGGCCATCGCTCAGTAACCATTTAGGTGTTCTTTAGAAGAGGTTCCCTGCAAAGTTCCAAGTGCCTCTTCCCAAACGTTCATTCACCTGCTGAGACCTGGCCTCATGACTCTCGCTGCCCCACAAAGCGGTTCGGCAAGGTAGTAAGTGTTATCATTTCGGTTTTCCACATAAGCCGAGGCAGCAGGAAACAATGTCCGGTCGTGAGTCTCGTCAGCCTAAGATCAGGAAAGCGCCGTCGGGAACTTGGCCGAGTCCAGGATCCACTTTCCCTTCCCGCCACACCGGTCACCTCACGGCCCGTGCCTGTTTTCTCCGAAGCTTTAGGACGTCGGGCGCCTTCCCCACCGGTCTCGCCCGTGGCGCCACGCCCAGCCCCTAACAACAGTTGCTAAGGGGCGGAGACTTCGAATGCTTTCGGGATACCAAACACCGCGGGGGCCGAACACTCGGCGCGCAGGCGGCAACCGGCTCTTCTTCAGCTCTCGCGAGAGTTCGTCTTCCCGGAAGCGCCGGAGGACGCTCCCAGTGGACGGCTCCGCGATGTGTGGGGACTGTGTGGAGAAGGAATATCCCAATCGGGTGAGCGAGTGGCTGACAAGAACTTCCCGCAGCCTTGGCGCGCGGCTGGCCCTCGAGGCTTCGAACAGCGCCGGCCGGCCTTGCCCGGAAGCCCGGGCGCGGGGCGGAGCAGGCCGCACGGCCCGTTCCAGTGACCCTGTGGCTGTGCGGCGGTGGCCAGCGGCGGTCCGCGCCTTCTGCTCCCCGCCTGTGGCTGCTGTCAGCCGTCGTTCCTGAGAGCCAAGTCTGGAAATCGGGTTTCCTGGGTGTTGCTGCCTTTTACAGCTCCGCTCTCGGGCTCAGGAGGTCGCGAAGCGTGTCCGTGGTCGTTTATCCAGGGTGCACTTGTTTAATGTGTGCGTGTGTGCGCGCGCGCGCAACACTGGGTTGGTAAGGCCAGAAAGGAAAACTAAAGAAGAAATAAAAGGCAGTTCCCGTGCTACGTAAGAGCTTATCTTTGGGGAAGTATGGGGTGAATAAGCCGTGCGGAGCTGTCTGTAAATGCTATGCAAGTTTAGAGAAAGGGACCAGCCACAGGCAGTGAATGCATTCCTCCCCCAGTATCTTTGCATTTGGTCAGGAGGTAGGCGCCTCTGTAGTTGCTGCTTCCTCTTAATATTTCATGAGGAATACTCTCGTGTAGTACAACCACTTTGGAGAAAAGATTTCGTATTATCAAACGAAGTCAAAAGCAATGGCCCCGCCATTCCCGTTCGTGCATAGGCCCCCGGGGTTTGGGTCAGCGTGTTCGTAAGGACGTTATGACATTAATGTCGTGAGGACATGACTCACAGTGGTAGCTGGGATGCATTCCTAGAGCGGAGCACCATGAATGACCGAGCAGTGGGAGTGAGTGAATTCGAGCCGCGGTTCTCAGTCAGGATGATTGTGCCTCCCCTGGGGTGTTTGGCAGCCTCTGGAGACGTCTGTGCTTCGGACACTAATGGGTGATGCTGCCAAACCTGCAACACGCAGGGCGGCCGCCACCACAACGAATGGTCCGCCCCAGTGTCAATGTGATGTGTTGAGGTGAGGAAGCGGAATTACACAGCTGCCTAAGTGAGGTTTTACAAGTAAATCTTCATGAAGGAGCCCATAATGTGTGATTCAAAAACAGGCGGAGTAAGATGTGCTCTTTAAGGATGTTCCTGGTGGTGGTAAGACTAAAAGCAAGCAAGCAGTTAACCATAGATCTGGACAGTGGTTACTGCTAAGGGGGTTAGCAAATGATCAGAAACAGATGAGGGCCAGGTTTCTGGGGTGCATGCAATGCTTTTTCTGCATTTTTGTTTTAAATTTTTATCTTATTTATTTGAAAAGCAGAGAGGTGGAGACTCTGGATGTCCCAGTAGAGCTAATTGGAAGACTTAAAAGTCATTGAATTTAGATTTTACATTTTATACATGGGGGAGATATCAAAATAACTTTGAATAGGGAAATGGTTCTGAAATCTGTTTGTTTAGGAAAAGGAATCGTGGTTGTGTGTTGGAGTGATGAGGTGGACAGAATTTTATTTTTTTCAAGATTTATTTATTTGAGAGAGAGAGAGAAAATATCTTCCACCTGCTGGTTCACTCTCCAAATGGTTACAATGAATGAGCTGGGCCAGGCTGAAGCTAGGAGTCAGGAGCTTCTTTTGGGTCTCCCATGTGGGTGCAGGGGCCCAAGGACTTGGGCCATCTTCTACTGCTTCCCCAGGCCATAGCAGAGAGCTGGATGGGAAGTGGAGCAGCCAGGACTCGAACCGGCGCCCATATGGGATGCAAGCACTGCAGGCAATGGCTTAACCTTCTATGCCATGGCCCCAGGCCAGCCCCGTTGGTGAAAAGAATTTTAAAAGGAAAGTACTGTGGAGCATATGGGAGCCAAGAGACAACAGTAGTGTAGGCATGAGATAATGATGACTTCATTTCAAAAAAGAATTAGTGAGAGTCAACCAGTTTAATGTAAGAGGGAAGTGGGCAGGGCTGTGGATGATTTTAGAGTTTTCAGTGTAGGCAGCTGGAAAATTGGAAGTATCATGTCAGAAGTTAGAGGCATATGGGAAGAGCAACCAAAATTGGGGGGCAAATGGTCAAATTGTTTTGATCATACCTCATTTGAGGTTGCGAATATAACATCTGAGGAGTCAAGTGAAGGCACTTTTTAGTTCAAGATCAGATAGATGAGTCAGCCAGGTGGGCAAAAGAGAAAGGATTTGTTCTGTGAGTAAAGAATGTAGAGAGAATCAAGGACTGACCTTCAAAGAATAAATTGGGAAATAGGGTAGAAGGAAGACGGAGTGAAGGGCTCAGGTGACTGGGAAACCAGGACAGTGCCTTCAGAAGCACTGTTCTGAAATAAAGGTTGTCATGAGCAAGAATCAAACTTTTCTTTGGAATTTCAGAAGGTAGATAGAGAAATCATTAGTGGGTGGCTGTTATGATGATGTAGTATTTGAATCAGAATGAAGAACTTTCCAACAGATGTTCAGAAATGGAATGGGTAACTCAGAGGAATTGAGCTGTCTTCCAGTTGTTCTGTAGGTGCCATTTGGAATCTCAAGGACCCTTTGAATTCTGGGATTCTTTGAGGTCATGACAGATTTTTAAGAGCAGTAAGAATGGACGCCACTTTGTCCAGGGTTAACAAAGGAACGGTAATAGGATGACAGCAGCAAGGATGTTCCATTAATTCAGAAACCTTGGCAGAGAAAATGGATTTGCTTTTGGGAAGCTCTTAGTGCAGAATGAGTAAGTAATATTTAATTATTTATCGTTAGTTACATAAAGTTATCTGGAGGCTTGTGGTAAATGTTTTGCAGAGACTAGAAGTATACGGTACTGAATTTGTAATAACGCTCTGGCCTTCTTGTAGTGTTAAAGAACTTGAACTCAAACATGAATCTAATTGGAAACTAATTTTATGAATTCAGATGTTTTTATACTCGTGAACCACTCAGAACACAACTGTGTTGCATTTGCTAAAATTATGGAGCAAGCACAAAATTTTAATAAAATACTTTTCAGATCAAACTGTAAATTAAGACTATATTTCATAAATTTCAAAATTCAGCTTTAAACTGTTTGGTAATACAGCAGCCATATAGAAATACATTAGATTAATTTAGATTAATCAGATGGAAAATAGCAGTGTAAGTTAGTGATATGTTTAAATTGAAAGTTGCATGTTTTATGTGTATCATTTCATGTTCTCATATTGCTGCGTAGTAGATAGTATTAAACCATATTCAATTAAATGCTGAGTCAGGTATATGATTACTAAAACAAATGTATGCAAATGGGTACTTTAAAAATGATGTTTGGCATTTTAAAATGTATGATTCTAAATGCCTATTTTTAAAAAAGAAAAATTTGAATCAATAACATGACCTTCCACTTAAGATAGCAGAAAAACAAGAATAAACTAAAGCCAAAGCAAGCAGAAAGAAGGAAATAAAGATTAGTAGGGAAGTTAATGGGATAACAAAAAAGAAAAGCAGGGACCAGCACTGTGGCGTAGCAGGTGAATCCACTGCCTGCAGTGCCAGCATCCCTTATGGACGCTGGTTCGAGTCCTGGCTGTTCCACTTCCCATCCAGCTCTATTCTATGGCCTTGGAAAGCAGTAGAAAATGGCCTAAGTCCTTGGGCCCCTGTACCTGTGTGGGAGACCCAAAAGAAGCTCCTGGCTCCGGATTGGTGTAACTCTGGCCATTGTGGCCAATTGTGGAGTGAAGCAGTGGATGTAAAAGCTCTCTCTGTCTCTCCTTCTTTCTCTGTGTAACTCTGCCTTTCAAATAAATAAATATTTAAAAAAAGAAAAGCAGTAAAGAAAATCAATAAAACTCAAAGTTGGTCCTTTAAAACTTTTTTTTCCATTTTTAATTTTAGATATTCCCTGATAAAACATGTACATTAACTTATTTATTTTTGACAGGCAGAGTGGACAGTAAGAGAGAGAGAGACAGAGAAAGGTCTTCCTTTGCCATTGGCTCACCCTCCAATGGCCGCCGCGGCTGGCGCACTGCAGCTGACGCACTGCGCTGATCCGAAGCCAGGAGCCAGGTGCTTTTCCTGGTCTCCCATGGGGTGCAGGGCCCAAGGACTTGGGCCATCCTCCACTGCACTTCCGGGCCTTAGCAGAGAGCTGGCCTGGAAGAGGGGCACCGGGACAGATCCGCGCCCTGACCGGGACTAGACCCGTGTGCGCGCCACTAGACGAGGATAGCTATGAGCCACTGCGCTGGCCTACATTAACTTATATAAACATTGACTGTTAACTGTACCATCTGGAAAGAATAAATTGATCTAATTCTTGTCAGAATATTTGCAGATTTCTCCAATTAATGAGATTTTGTAAGGTACTATTAGACTGATTATCAAAATTCCAGCCATTTCTTTTTGCATACTTCTTTATCTTTGAGTTTTATTGATTTTCTCTACTGCTTTTCTTTTCTTTTCAAGATTTATTTATTTGAAAGGCAGAGTTACACAGAGAAAGAAGGAGAGACAGAGTGAGAGATTTTATATCCGCTGCTTCACTCCCCAATTGGCCACAATGGCTAGAGCTACACCGATCCCACACTTTTAAAGATTTGTTTATTTATTTGAAGGTCAGAGTTACAGAGAGAGGAGAGACACAGAGAAATCTTCCACCTGCTGGTTCACTCCCCAAACGGTGCCAGTGACGGGGGCTGGTTGAAGCCAGGAGTTAGGCTCTTCTGGGTCTCCCACACGATTGCAGGAGCCCGGGAACTTGGGCAATCCTCCACTGCTTTCCCAGGCACATTAACAGGGTGCTTGATTGAAGCGGAGCAGCTGAGACTCAAACTGGTACCCACATAGGATGCTGGTGCTGCAGGCTGCAACTTAACCTGCTGCGCCACAATGCTGTTCCCCTCCAAATCACATATTCTAAGGGTACTTAACATGTTGACTTTATTTCCTTCTTGAAACTGTGGTGGTTTACTTTTATTACCGTGGAGTTGATTTGAATTGTGTTCTTTTACCCTTCTATTATGGGAGCCTGTAAAGCTTCCTT